GATGAGATACCCGACGGTGAATTTGTAGACTGATACTATTGAAAGTCATAAGGAAATCTAAGCTTCGGGGAGTTTCCAACCAGCGACGTCTAGGCGACCCAAGATTTCTTATCGAAATTGAGGTAAATTCCAGCGAAGAAATCGAATCAGTGAGAGTATACAATAAACAAACATTCAGTCATATAGTTGTTTAAGTTTAGTCATGCAAATCAACAAACATTATTTCATATATTTTTATTCAATGGCTGCGGCTGATAAATCTCAGGTGGGACGAAACGCGTGGGTCATGAATTCTTCGTATTTTATTGTCATCATTTATCCTTTCGGAACATATCGATTCAGTAGCACACCATTATTTCAATCTCTTCTCTCCAGTCTCTTCAACGTGGCTCCACGACCGCTTATAAGCTTTCATTTATTCCTCCGATCACCTCCTGCATGTCACTTTCCCATGCCCAACTTATCATTTCCCACTTGTGGTCCACTTGATGGCCTGATCACGAGCATGATGTCCTTAAACTGTCCTCTCACCTTATGTCCAATCCATCTCCACTTCCTCCTATTGCATATTTGTTAGGTGACAGCCAATCACAGTTCCTCCTTGATTATTCTTTCTCGCCATCTGATCTGATCTTCAGTATCGAGTGAGTGTAGGCGGCAGCTGTTCACATATGTGTGCAGTTTATTCAAAATCCTTTTCGTAACGCGTCAAGTCTCTCAACCATCACAGAGAAGCAATTACCGATTTGACTGACTTAGTGTTCAAAATCCGGATCTTGTTCACGCTTTGTGCAGAGCGCAATGCATTGCAGTAGATCTGCACACTGATTATTTCAGATTAACGAACAAAAGCCTGTCTTGCTGTATTTCAGATCCTCGCTTTCACATCGTCATATGTGTCTGTCTGTCTGTCCCGCTACCTGTAATTGAAACAATCATGCCTAGACATGTAAGTAGGTGAATGAGACAACTTCCTTCACATTCCTCACATCGATGATGATGCATCTTGTTGTCGCTGTCGCTATCGCTATCGCTATAGCTGTTGTCGTTGTTGTTGTTGTTGTTGTTGTTGTTGGTGGTGGTGGTTGGGTATCGTCATCACCTCTATCTTGTTTACATGTTCACCTGATGGAAGTGCCGTCTTCACTGCCCCACCTCACTTCTCCTCACCTGGCTTCTGCTGTTACGTTGTTAGTTTTTGCCACTACATCTTCGACTTTCTCCGACAAGACATCAGACACAAGTCATGATGGTCGAAATCCAAATCTCCTTGGGTCTTTTCATCTTTTCTTCAATCAAACATGGCACGACCATCTTCTCACAGCTCCTCACAGTTGTTTCTTGCATAATCCACTCCACTCCAGTCCAGTCGACCACAGTCACCAAGATCATCGTTGGGAATAGATAGTAGGCGCCAAACTCGTCTTACTCCTTGCTGTCTCCTGTCTTCACTTCACCTCAAAGGCATCACTGAGCTTTACATTGTCAATCACTGACATGTAGCATCATATAGCATAGCGCATAGCATATAGCAGGTAGCTGGTGGTGAATAAGGTTGATACAGGTTTTTGGCACTCCGTAGAGCCTGGACTCCACTATTCACCACTATCTGCATAAGAATTTTAGTATTGGGAGGTTTAGTAATGAATAGAAAAGATTTCTGTGAAGATAATGAAAATCGCTGATTTTTATGTGTGAATGGTTTGTAACTACTTATATCGGTTAGTGAGTAGTATATACTACACCAATGGAGAATAACCTTCTTTTTAGACTTGATGAGTGGTAATAAGCTGGAAACGACATCAGAATTGTAAATTTCATTGTTGACTCATAGTAGATGCCTACTGAAGGTTTGAATCGTTCTACTTTTGAAATATACTCGTCATGGAGCATTTGTAAAATACACATTTTGAACAATCTTTTCTAACAGATTATAATTAAGAAGGATGAGAACAAAAGAGGTGGGAGTCATGTAGTTGATCACAATTTTGACAAGAAGCCAAATACCTACGGAAGTGGTTTCAATTAGCGTATACCTATCGCATCTACAAATATCTCAGTATACTTCATTGAATGTTTGAAAACAGTTGGGATATTAATTTTGTAACACATTTCCATAATATGTTTACCTAGAGGGAATAAGGAGATTCGTCTCCCATCTTCAGTAATTAAAGTTTCACACTCCCCATCTGTTTTCAAAGGCATTTTGGTTCTATTCAACTGTCAGTCTACAGAAAGTCTATAAGGATACCATAATGACTGAATGATAACATACCTCTTACATAGGATGAATGAAGACATCAAATTACTTCAAGGAAATGGATCTCCGTTGAAGTTTACAAACCATTCAAGAAGTCAGATAGCACCAAATGTCGACGAATTAGACATACAGTTCCTAAGAAAACTCTCCATAACACTGTACACCTTGCTCGATTGAAATCAAGCATACTGCCAATATTTTACACATCTTGGAATTATCAAATTGAATTCTTACATCATAGTCATTTAGAGTTCAGGTCAGCATTCACTATAGACTGTTGTCAGTTGAAGAAATACAACGGACTTGGAAGTACTCGTCCTAGTCTAGGTTTCCTTAGCAGTGCACACCCTTTACCGTACAGCGTGAGCAGAATCTCCTTAGTTCATCCAGAATCAATAACGTATGTGTCTATGTAACCATATCTAATGTCTCAGATAGTTGAAGTGAGAATGCTCACTGTCCTCAATTCTCTTGTTTTGTCTGAGGTGATAGTGCAGTACACATTCCAAAGAATGAGTTTATAAACCACGTTGGTCCCTAATGGAGTCTGGCTATTGCCTCCTTCTATATATAACACTTGGAAAGCTATTTGGCTATACATGAACAGATTCATCTTCCATTGACTAATATCAAAGTTTTATATTCCATCTGCTTATAAAGCTATTTAAGCCCATGTTCACACACACACACACATGTAAAGAGGTAAACATGATAGGATATGACGTAATCAGTTATTGATTCAGTGTTTAGGTTTATGGTTAAGCACTGAGATCTTTGTGAAGGTGACAGTCATACACCAAATGAAACCACCTTCAAGGGTATACACTTACACTTACCATATTTGATAAAGTTTATTTTCTCATTAAGATAAGAAGCAATTATGTCACACATAGTCCCCTTTCTTTCTCAACTTTCTTAATTTTATTCTTCAAGATGGAGGAAATATTCATCAGCTTTCTATTCCACAGAGATAATCTATGGGAAATCATTACAAGTAAACTTCAATGTTCGTTAGAAAAGGTGACGATTCCTGTTACCAGTGTGAGATTGTTGATCAACAATCTATGTATCTTACTATCATATGTTTATCCATGTGTAAAAACCTACTCCCCATTGCTCCACGTCTTCTGACAGACAACTGTGATGGTTATCTACTGATAAAGTTCATTCTACATTTCAAGGTGAACAGATTTGAACAAGTTGACAGTGTAGGGGTATGTTGGGATGTCACATAATATCGAAAGTCTGCTTCATGAAATCTCATCACTGAAGTTTCCCTTCACTATAGAATATCATGATGACATCATAGTGATTTATGAGAAACATGAGGATATGGTTTATCTACTGAGAAGCGATTTAATATCATACAAGTCAACATCACCTGTCATTGTTAGATGTACCTCCTGAGTTGACAAGAAGATGATTGAATAAGACGGTCAGTCTACACAACAAAGTCAACATGGATACGACAATATCTGAGTTCTCTAATACACACGAAGTGTAATGAAATGCTTGTTGAATAGAATCTGTTGTAAGTGTAGATAAGGCATAAACTGACCTATGGAAAACGGGAATCCGTTGACGTGTATACACTGTTGTGGAAGTCAGGTAGTGTCGAAGGCAACTGCACACGCACACACACACACACAGACACACATATACAGTTCCTTAGAGATGTGTTCACATCATTGTACCATAGAATTTTGAGATGTAGGTTAACATCAACGAGTATAAGGAGGATATATTGTGCAGCACGGAAATCAATGATTATGTCACATCTGATTGTGTTTACCTCTTGACTCCCACATACTACATAGGAGGGAGTAGTCGATGAATGGTGTGTGAGGTGGTGGTGGTGGTGGTGGTGGTGTGACAACGTGGATACCTAAATCTCTTCATTAGCAGATAGAGTGTGAACATTTTGATAGGAGACGACTGTATTGATCAATAGGCGAATATATCATAGAATGAGTTGGCGAAATTAACGTCGAAAGAGTCTTCCAAGTGTTATGCATAGATGGAGGCGATAGCGAGATGCAAGTGGAAACTACCTCCATGTGTGTGTGTGTGTGTTCGTGGTGTGTACACTACATCTATCGTGATTGATGAAGTTTACCTGCTTACCGAGATGGTGACCAGCTATGAGTATATGAGACATTCGATGTAGTTCAAGATAGATAGTTGAATTGTTGATAGTGAGTGATGATTGAAGGGTGACATGAAAGAATCGGTCAATGTACGACTCGAACTAGTGACTATAAGTTTACTCACCCGATATTTTATTAAATATTCATTTGATCATTTCAATTATTTAGCACCTTAATTAGACTTGAAGTTCTCTGATATTTCGATGGCTGTAATTCAACTCGGGGATTTGTGAGAATGAGAATCCTCATCATTGTGCACCCATGTGTCATCTCAGTTCGATTCCCGTTGAATGTCCCATTCTGGCACCAATTTATTGATTGGAATCACAATTTTTATTCGGGGACAAGATGGTTTCAGTGTAAAATGTAAGGAATACATGACAAACAGATATTCTGGCACTGATTGACCCTATGAATTTCGTTGTAATGTATAGAACTCCTCAGTTGCTCGGCACCTACCCGTAGTGGTCAGAACACCACTAACACTCGAAATATCATGCAGTGTATAATTCTGTAACACTTTGTATATGTTGTTACGTCACTTAAAAGCATCTGGTTACTATTAATACGTTTATCTGTTTCTCTTCTCTCAGAATGATCAGGAACTCACATCAAACAATGCCACTACTACTACTACTACTGCTAATAATAATAATACTGTTACTAGTAATAATCATCGTAGAGAAGATCGTGTTAAACGTCCAATGAATGCATTTATGGTCTGGTCCCGTGGTCAGCGGAGACGTATGGCACAAGAGAATCCTAAAATGCATAATTCTGAGATAAGTAAACGTCTTGGTTCAATGTGGAAAAATTTATGTGAAACAGATAAAAAGCCATTTATAGATGAAGCGAAACGTTTAAGAGCTAATCATATGGCACAATATCCAGATTATAAATATCGTCCAAGACGTAAACATAAACCATTAGAGAAACATAAAAAGGCATCGAATCAATTAACATATGGAGCAATGAATAATTATGTAAATAATAATACAATACCATATTCACATAATACTGGTGGAAGTGTAACAACAGGATCAATAATTCATTGTAATGTTAATCATTCAATGGATCCAATTATTTCATCATCTACACAATCACATCATCAACATTTTAGTCAACATATACATAAACATGAACATCATCATCATCTTCATGGATTATTTAATCCATCGAATACACGAATCCCATCAAATTATCCTTATTTAAGTAATCAATCAATTAATTATGTACCCGAACATATTAAAGATAATCAACATATTCCTGAAGTAATACAACATCAAGAAATAATCGATATTCAACCAAAAATATCAGGATCATTGATAAGAAATCAACATTCACAAGATTTTTCAATGAATCATTTACACTCGAATATGATACCATATTATGGTAATGATTTTAATGATCAGATAGATAAGAATAGAAGTTTAAGGCAATCATTGTTGAATACGGATAATCCATCGACTAGTCTATCAACAGGAAGATTTGAACATACCTCATTTCATACACAGTCAATGTATGCTAGTCGACAAATTTCTGGACAATATCGAGATATTACTCATTCAATGAATAGTAGTAACAATAATCGTAATAGTGGTGGAAGACTTCTACGACAAGAAGGTGTATATAGAGCAGATGATCTGAATCCGAGCATTCCTATAACACAGAATAATCAAACCAGCAACATTGGTACTACTTCACAATTGATGCCAACAGATATGTCCAGTCCATTTTCAGCTGTTGCCGCAGCAGCTTTAGCCGCTGTGGCTGTCAGTGATACATCTGTAGAACAGAATTCTGAAGGGAATAATTCAAATTCAATGACATTTATGCAAAGATTAGGTGGTACACCATGGTCAATGTTTTATACAAATAATGGAGGGAATATTATAAATCCAATAAGAATACAATCTGAACGATCATTAATCAATCGATCAATAATAAAATCGAATCAAACCGGTGGATCAAGTTTAGATTCACCACCACCATTTTCAATTAATCGTAGTGGTTCCACTACACCTATTTTAAACAATAACAATAATAATAATACTAATAATGGTAATAGTTTCGTCCATCCAACATCATCATCATCATCAACAGTGGTGACTTCAACATCAAATGGGAATTCGCATAATGCAGCAGCAGCAATGATGGCAGCTGTGGCTGCAGCAAATTATGCAGCTACTCAACTTGCTTATTATGGCGCTAGTACAACTTCAAACAATGAAACTTCAGTATATTCACATCAACAAAATGGTAATATTATTACTGGATATAATACAGATACACTTTCATCGAATTGGTTAACTAATCCTAATGGGAATATTAATCCAGTATATCATCGACATGATATTGATCCATTGAATATTTCAAGGAATGAAATAACTAATTCAACATCTTATACAACATTGGATCCATATCATTGTAATAATTTATCAACACAATTTCATATGAACCGATATCCTACATGGTTAGAACGTTTTGAACCAGCACCATAGCAACAAGATGATATACAATGTTGTTATTCAATATCATAGAACCCAATTCTAATGTACAGTTAATTACTATTCATCTTCCCCACCTCTACCCCACTCATTCCGTTAAACATATACATATAAGTTACCTTTTTCAAAGCATTTTCTTTACATAAAAATGTATAGTTTTTCTTGAATAATTTTCCCCTTTCTTTGTCAACTCTATTTATTATTATTGATTCTATGAAAATCATTGCCAATTATCTTTTGATTAAACCTTTAGAAAGGGGAAAGTATACATATTCACTGACTTCCTAGAATGATGAACAAGCATACATTCTTGTTGTATAGAAAATATTCATCGGTTTCACCTATTCTAATCCCTTTAAAGATGAATCTCATAAAAAAAACTTTACACAAATCAATATTGATTGCTTAGAAACAATAGCCCCTTTATACATAATTATATATATATATCAGCAATAGTAATGATCATAATAGTAACAGAAGTATCTTTTAACTTTTTATAGATGAGGGGGTCAATGGGCAGGTATTGTCCTAAATAAGGTAGGAGTGGATCATAAAGTTCATGAAGTTGTTTGTTGTCGTCAGTAAGCAACATGGATAGGAATGATGTGTGGTCTGAGATGGCCAATCCGAGTGTCACCAAGTAAAATAGTCACTCATTGAAAATACTCCATTTCAACTACTTGTAAGTAGTTAATGATCGTGTACTGAAAATTTCTTGATAAAGTGGTTCTCGTCTAGGCATTTTATCGAGTGGTTAGAAGAGAAATTTGCTTTCAGGTGAATATGCTAGGGTGTGTTACACCCGCTTGAGGATTATTCAATGGGTGATTGCCTAATTTATACATATTATTATTGTTCTTTGGGTTCCTAGTGAAGCAGATGATTTCAGTAGCTTCCATTTCTTTCTCATACTATCTTCTTCATGTCACTCTCGGATGCCCAACTTGTCGTTTAGCATGCGGGTCTCACTCGAAGGACTGGAGCGTAATATCCACAAACTGTCTCCGAAGTCTATGTGTAATCCAATCCAATCCATCTACACTCTCTTCTACTGCATATTTGTTTGGTGGCAAGTTCTTGGTTGGTTTGTTACCAGGCTAGAGTTCCTCCTTGCTTATTATCATTATTCTGGTCATCTGATCTCCATCTTCAGTACCAAGTGAGTGTAGATGGCAGCTGTTGATGAATGTCTGTAGTTTGTTGGAAGTGCTTTTCGTAACGCGCCAACTCTCACAACCATCACAGAGAAGCAAGCACTGACTTGACTGACATTAGTGTTGAAAATCCTCATCTTGTTCACACTTTATGCTGAGTGCAGTGCAGTGCAGTAGATCTTCACAGTGATTATTTCAGATTCATGCAGGAAGGCATGTCTTGTTTTGGTTCTTCGATCCTGGTTTTGACATCCTGCCAAGTTGTTTGCTTTCGCCTGTACATCTTTGACTTTGTGTGACAAAACATTGGACATAAATCATGATAGGCAAAATTCAAATCTTCTAGGGTGTTTTCATAAGTCCAGCCAGCGCATGCCCACCTTTTCACATCTCCTCACAGTTTGTTGCACAATCCAGTCGACTGTAATTAGGCAAATCACTGCCTAAAATGAATGAAAAAGTTTGTAGTCTTCCTTCCACGCTTTGATGTCATCCGGAACAGTCTTAAACTCATCCATAGTATACAATCATGACCTCATAACAAAACCCTTCTAGGAATTCGTAGTGTAGTGTGATCCTCAGTGTATATCTGTGTCGCTGTCAATGTGATTAACTCCTTACTGACAAGGCTATCGTCTACCTAACACAGTGGACATTACTATTCAAAATGTTACTGATTTCTACGTAGATAAGACATAATGAAGCCGTTGATATATTCACGTACAGAAATATTAAATGCCTCTTTTAGAAAGCTATTCGAACCCCTTCATCTTCCAAGAGTTCCACTAGAGTCAATCACCTCTTGGAATACTTTCAGATGAAACAGTCATTCAGTCAGTTATCATGTTTGCATTTTCAACACTGTTCAAAGATGTAAAGTGTTTACATATCCTCATCAATATCTTGGACACAACTACTTAGAATAGTTCTCAGGTGTTAAAGTTTGTAGGTAGTTCCCTCTTGTTGACTGAATCGAATTAATTGCCCAATACTGACATATAGGATACTTTGTACATGTATTATTATTATTATGACTAACAACGGCGATTATGATAATAATAATTATCGTAATGGTAGCAATAATAATAGAAACAGTAATGATAATAATTAACAGTAACGATGATAATGGCAAAAACAACAATAACGGTAATGATTGTAATAATAGTAATGCTTATAACAATAATCATAATATGAAAACTCTTGCTGGTAATAATGATAATTATTATTATTACTTATCCCATGGCTTCCTAATGGAACATACGGATTCAGTAGCACGTCTCCATTCCACTCGCTTCTCTCCAGTCATTTCAGCCTGCTTCCACGACTCCCCACAAGCTCCCATTTCTTCCTCACACCATCTCCTCCATATCACCCTCAACTCGGACGCCCAACTCGTCGTTTCCCATATGGCTTGCAGTCAACGACTTGGCCTGGCGCGTGATGTCCCCAATCTGCCTTCTCAGTGTATGCCCAATCCAATCCAATCCATCTCCACTTCCTTCCACTGTATATTTGTTCAGCGATAGCTTCTTGCTTCGTTGGTTCGTTGCCAGCCAGCCAGCCAGCCAGCCAGCCAGCCAGCCAGCCAGCCAGCCAGCCAGCCAGCCAGCCAGCCAGCCAGCCAGCCAGCCAGCCAGCCAGCCAGCCAGCCAGCCAGCCAGCCAGCCAGCCAGCCAGCCAGCCAGCCAGCCAGCCAGCCAGCCAGCCAGCCAGCCAGCCAGCCAGCCAGCCAGCCAGCCAGCCAGCCAGCCAGCCAGCCAGCCAGCCAGCCAGCCAGCCAGCCAGCCAGCCAGCCAGCCAGCCAGCCAGCCAGCCAGCCAGCCAGCCAGCCAGCCAGCCAGCCAGCCAGCCAGCCAGCCAGCCAGCCAGCCAGCCAGCCAGCCAGCCAGCCAGCCAGCCAGCCAGCCAGCCAGCCAGCCAGCCAGCCAGCCAGCCAGCCAGCCAGCCAGCCAGCCAGCCAGCCAGCCAGCCAGCCAGCCAGCCAGCCAGCCAGCCAGCCAGCCAGACTTCCTCCTTGCTTATTCTTTCTCGCTATCCATCTCAGCTTCAGTAACGAGCCAGTGTAGACAGCAGCTGTGGATGAATGTCTGTAGTTTGTTGCAAATCCATTTCGTAACGTGCCAAGTCTCTCAACCATGTACATGCACTGACTTACTTGACTCAAATGGTGTTGAAAATCCGGATGTTGTTCATGGTTTGTGCTGAGTGCTGAGCAGTGCAGTGCAGTGCAGAAGATCACCACAACGGTTTCAGGTTAATCAACGCCTGTCTTGCTGTCTTTCCGATCCTGTCTGCTTTGACATCCTCGTCTGTGCCTATGCACCTGTAGTTGAAACAGTGCTGCCTAGGAAGGTAGGTGAAAGAGGCTACTTCCTTCAAGTTTCTCCCCTTGGTGGTGATTGGTGTTTGTTGTTGTTATGTGTTGTTGTTGTTGTTGTTGTTGTTGTTGTTGTTGGTTGGGTATCTTCATCACCTCTGTCTTCTCTACGTGTTCAGGTGAATGAAATCCCGTCTTCGCTGTCCTATCCTGTCCTGCCCTGCCTCTTCTGTCAACTTGTTAGTTTTCGCCTGTAGATGTTCGAGTTTGTGTGAGATTAGACACAAGTCATCATTGGTGAAATCCAAATCTTCTAGGATGTTTTCCCGGTGCAGCCAGCGTATCCCCCTGTTCTCGCTCCTCACGGTTTGCTGCACGATCCAGTCCACTACAATCAGGAAGATGATCGGTGATAGTAGACGGCCTTGTTTCACTCCTGTCTTCACTTCAAAAGCATCACTGAGCTTCCCATTGTGAATCATTTGGCATGTGGCGTCTTCATATAGTTGTTGAATGAGGCGGATAAAGGTATGCGGTATTCTGTAGTGTAATAATAATAGTAATAATAATATTGCCTAATGGTAATAATAGTGATCGTATTATTTAAATTAATAACAATAATAGCAGTTATAGTAGTAGGAATAATAATTGTAATTATGATAATGGTAATGATATTATTGGTAATTATGTTAGTCATAATAATGATGGTAATATTTATAACAATAATAATCGATAATTTCAGTCTCGTGCATGTTAGTAAACTTCCTCGTTCGAGTCTCAGTGGAAGTAATACTAGTCAATCAGAGGCAAGTACATCCATCTGATGAGTTCTAGAGAATACGAAACACCTGTCTTTGATTCCACTGTTAATTACTCTTTAATAACTGAATTCAATTTAATCGGTAAACTTCAAGGAATCTCGTCGTATCAGTATGATATCACATGGTTGTATATCGTGGAAGAAAACAACACCGAATCATGTACAAAAGTCCAGGAGTTCACTATTGAACAAACTATTTCAATATCAATTGAATTTAGGAGAAAAATGATTCGAAACATTTGCAAATTTGTGTTATTTATGGCTTAGATTCTTTATCGAAGAACTAGTGTACTGTATCGCTACACTTTCCAGTAGGCGACATGAAGTGTAGTTACAGAGGTATCTTTGCAGTCTCGCTTGCGTTTGACAGAATCACTGTGTATGTATTGGTGTGTTTTTGTGTGTGTGGGAGAGAGAGAGAGAGAGCAATAATATGGTTACACGAAGGGTACTAGGTAAGACAAACTGGTAAGTTGATCGATGAGGTTGTGAACCTTAGTCGACTGAGATGGTCAACGCCAACTACCTTGACATCCAATGTTATCCTAGAAGAAGTTGGATAAGATAGGAGTAGAGTTCAGGTAACCAGATCAACACATCGATGAAGTCTCTCACTGTTGGTCTGAGTTGTGTTAAGAGATTTAGACTACCACGCTACACTCCTAAGACCATATTCTCATCAGTGACTAGCCGTTTCTCAATCTATGTAACAAGTTGAAAATGGGTAACATAATGGTCCATAGTCCATGTTGGTTTTCGATTCAAGCCCTTTGAAAAAAAACCCACAGGAGGATCATATGCTGTAAGTGATTATTTAATTGACAGGTGGGAAGGAAGGGGTGCAGGAACCGGAAAACTTCATTCCCACCCCCTACCCTTATTTTCAATTTCAAGTTAGTATTCACTTTCTAAAACTCTTGTAAACCTTATCATCATTATCACTGATAGGAATTACATGTTCATAATGAATTAATCGGATTACGCGGTATTATTTGTTTAAATTACATGATTCAATGTTCAATGTTTACAAAATCAACGGTAATACATCAATTCATGAGTGTAGAACATCCCTTTTCATGAACAATTTTAACATCAATTTCTAGTAAACATCTTCAACTGTCATTTTTTA